ACAAGGATATCTACAAAAGAAGAGAATGTGTGAGTAAATTGCAGCATATGCACTGGATATTTTGACAACAACAAGGATATCTACACAAGGATAGTTCATTTGATAAGAAATGTAGGAAATGGGCTAAATAGAAGTCAAATAGGCCATATTTGGGTCATATTTGATAAAATACATATTGTTTTGCCTAATTAATTAATTCTAACATAATTTTTTTGTATTTCAAGTTTTGCAAAGTCCAAAAGGATGGTCCATTGACAATCAAGGAACTTAATGAAGTTCGTGACATGTTGGCGTCTTTTATCACCTTCAACATGTAAATGGAATTTTAATTGTAAATTTATGATAACTTTTGAACTATATTATTATTCATTATTTACTTACTATCATTTGTATATATATATAACACTTTTTTTTATTGCATTGCGTTTGGGAATATTTATATCTATATAAATATGAATTCTTGTTTTTAATATTATTTGTATCTTATTATAATATTTAATAATATTATTATTATTAGTAATTATAATAATAATATTATTAATTATTTTATTTAATATTATTGCTGGAATTACAGGTTATTATTATTGCTGGAAACAGGGTGTTTTTTTTTAATATTATTGCACGAAAAATTGAAAAAAAAAAAAATTATTATAAAGGCACCGGTTAACCGGTGCCAAAACAAGCTGCCACAAAAAAAAAACGTGGGAGATTATTTTAGGCTCTGGTTAACCGGTGCCTTTAATTATTTTGGCCACCGGTTAACTGGTGCCAAAACCGGTTTAGGGCTCCGGTTTTGAAGCGGTGCAAAAAGGGGGGTAATTGGCACCCCCATATAGAAATTGGTTCAAACCGGTGCCTTAGACCGGGTTTGAACCGCTGCCTATTGCTATTTTTCTACTAGTGTAATGTACTTATAAGCAACACAATCTTACTAACTTTACCTATATATCTCATATGCAGCTTATCTCATATGCAGCTTTATATTTTTAATGTATGTAGTATATTCTAGTCTCAAATGTTGTTCTCTGGTTTGTAAAACATATTGAGGTGTAGCAATTTATTGAAGCTACCAAATCAAAGCTATTTTTACATGTTAATTGTATCTGTGCAACTGTTTCGTTACAAGTACAGATGCACAAAGGGTTGGTTCATGAATTTAGACATTAATGGTGTAAATTAAGCCTACAGGGTTATAATACTTGGTAGTTTTGTACTGTAATGTAAACAAATTGATCTAGAAGTTAATGAAAAGGGTATGCCTAGGTGAATACATAGGAATAAAATCAAGTGGAATACCAACCATATTTCATAAAAACTAACATGGTGAACAAACATGTAATTTTGAGCATTAACATGAGTTTATGCATGATATAAGTAATTTGCATACAGACAAATAATGACTTTTTATTTATTTATTTATTTATTTATTTTTTACATTATAGCTAGAGCTGTTAAAATATTAAATGGTAGCACATATGCAATCTATTATGGATTTTCAGTAAGCAATAACTTTTAATAAAACTAACTTATAAGCTGATCATACATGTCAAAGAGCAGAGGGTTTAGTGCTGATGTTTGTGAATATGACCTTCTTTTTACTTCTGCATTTTTTGTTTTGCCCCTTTTTTTTTGTTTTCTATTTGTGATATATATACTACTTGGACAATGAGCTGTATGAGAAAGCAATAAGGCCTAGTGTTTTTATAATATAAGTGACCTTAAAATAAAATCAAAGGAAGAAGCAAAATTCAACCTTACTGTTTCTGTAACAGTGTTCTGCTGTATTTCTTTGCATAAAATCAGTAACCTTACTTCTAAAATAGGGAACTGTATATTTTAGAGATATATAGGGTGTACTTTCTTAATATCTAAATACAAATTTGCAAATGTATCTCCATATCTCCTAGGTTGCAAATATATTTCTATATATCTTTTATTGTATTATTTATATCTAAAAGTAACTAAAATGTTATGATTTGTAAGTTTCCTTGTGATATGGCCTTAAATGATATTGAAATTACTGTTCCTATCACATGCACTCCATATGTAATAATAGACCATATCTTTTTTTTTTTCTATTTCTTTTGTCATTTTTAAGAACATCTTTTTCCCTTAAATTCTTCTTTTGGATTATCTTTTGTCCACAAGTAGTGGTAGATAATCAAAAGTATCCTTTTTTTTTATTTTTTATTTTTTTAGAAAAATTACACAGTTTATTTTTCTTGATTTATTAGTAGATTTGTTGCTAGTTTGTGTATTTGTCAAATTCTTAGGTTATAATGACAACGCTTTCGTTTTTAGTGTCAAGATAACACAAGTTACGCATTAAGGGTATTATAAAATACATATACGTGCAGTATATATATCTACATAAAATTGAAACTGATTACAGTAGTTTGTTTGTTTGCTTTATATATATACATAAAATTCAAACTGATCACAATAACTTGTTTATTTATATAGTACATATAAGTAGCTTGGTAATTAGAGATGCTGTTTGGTTGACTGTTTTAGACATAGATATGAGGCAGAACCCAAAAGATAAGCTGTTATTTCTATGGCTCTGTGATCAGCAAAAAAGCCCTATAACACTATAAAGAAAACAAAAATCCATTTACTATTTGTTAGTAACTCATAGAGGCTGATATTATACCAGAATATAAAGAAATATGTTCATAAATTTTTTTAATAGCATATATACCAGACCTTAAATAAAACTTATTATGTTGTTTGGTAAATTATGCCATACTTAAAAAGAAAGTCAGTTTATTAAGGAGCCTAACCTGCAGGAAAACAATCAATTCATCACTTAAAGAAAAGTAGATGGTCTGGTAATCTAATATAAAAATACTACACAAAACATGAATGCACTATAATAAGAGGGAATGGAAAGAAATCACTCACTGATGTAGCTAGATGATGCCATTCATATAAAGAATATCATAGGATACCACATTTCTGACACGACCCAGATCTGGCTTAATCAGCATCCATGTCAGTTATAACACTCACATTTGCTGCTTGTCGAGCTCGGTAAAGGGCAACATACAACTGACCATGTGAAAAACATGATCGTGGAAGATAAATAACAACTTTATTAAGTGTTTGACCTTGAGCTTTGTTGATAGTCATTGCAAAGCTAAGCTTTCAAGGAAAATGTTTCCTCTGAAATTGGAAAGTATACGCTAAAGACTCTAATGGTCTTAGCTTAATTCTTGGTATCAATACATGCTCTCCTTTATGATGGCCAACAACAATAACACATTTAATGAGATTCGGGAAGAACTTTTTGCATATCAGCCTTGTTCCATTACAAAGACCATGACGGTAAGATGTTACGCAACAAAATAAATGGCTAGTTGACTTTCAATAAAAGCTCATGGGGACTCATGCCACCAAGACAAAGCTTATTTTAAAATTCTGTAGGATATATGGAGCAATTATCGTTAATCATTTAATCATAACTCTTGTAGGCTACTGCTTCACCTAGAAATTTTGCTATTAAGATTCCATTAATAACATCTATATCATCTTTGATTGGTGTGAGTATAGCTTTGGTTGTGAATATATCAGCATTAAATGGAAGCATATCCATTTTTGGAAAAGCAACTGAAGTGAACTTCATATCTTGAGCTACAACAACATCATAAGGCTATACAATTTCTGGTGGAAGCTGAACAAGAGCATTTTCACTATTCTATAACTGTCCATTTCCTAATGCCAGCAAAAAGGCTGCATAGGTTGGATCTTGTTTAGCCCGAATATTTTCTATTAATCTAAACTTAATTAACAACGGCCACAAAGTAGAATCGACCAAGCTAGCAGCAATTGCTTCGCGTTGTGTTCTCTTTGGGACAACTGGAAGAACTTGCCTGAAATTTCCTCCAAAGACGACAATTTTCCCTCCAAATAATAGGCCAGGGTTACAAATATCTCTAAGCAACACATCAAGTGATTCAACATTTTCTTTTTTTTCCATTAAAGCCTCATCCCAAATGATGAGTGTTGTTTCTCTTAGTAGTGCAACTAGATTGCCTTGTTTAGGCACATTACAAGTAATTGCATCAAGAGGATCCAATGGAATTTTAAACCATGAATGAGCATTTCTTCAAGAGGGAATATTGGCTGCAGCTATACCAGATGTTTCAGTTGGCAAAACTATCTTATTCATGAGCCTTATTTCAACATTATATAAAAAGGTCTTTCCTGTTCCACCAGGACCATCTATGAAAAATGCTCCAGGTTTTTGCTTTATAACGTGATTCATTATGACATTAAATGCCTCTCGTTGACCTGATTTAATTGGCTCTTGCATTGTAGAAATTTGTCTGGTATTGGAGCATTCAATGCATCTTCTGTATCCTTTGTTCTCCGTATTTCATCATCATCATCAGGATGAACTAAATGGTCTATGCCATATGCAGCAAGAGAGCTTCCCATTGATTTAAGAAACCATTCAACTGATCTGATAGTGAACTACCTAACTTTTTGTGGATCAGAAGCATATTTGTGTCTAAAATATTCAGACAAAAAGCTATAATATTTCATCCAAAGAGAGACAGGATTGCTGGGTTGGCAAAAGATAAGTACAGTAGCAAAGAGTTTGTGAACTGCAATTGGCATCTGAACTACACAACCTTCTTTCAAACATATATCAACCAAATAATCTCTTCTAATAGCCTTAGTTTAAGTGCAGCTTGCTGAAATGTATCACATAAATGACCATTGACTGTTTGCAGATCTTCAAATGACTTTGGACTTGTACCATTATGCAGCAATAATCTAAGATAGTATCTTTCTACTTCTGAAGGTCCAACAAAAGCCAATCTACCAATGACTATTTTCTTATTTTGCGTTTTATACCAATGTTTTGTAGATGCATCCCAACGATAGTGCTCTAAAAACTCGTTGTGTAACCAACATGTTCCAGATGGTAGCCTACAGTTCATGCGAAAAAACTATGTAAGGCACGTTTTAGAACGCTTGTCATGTGAAACCACTTATGTAAGTTGTTCATGAGGCCTTAGCTGTATAATTTGTGAATTGGGTAAGTGTACAAGAAGAGGCAAAACTGGTGGATGCATTTCGTGTAAATCCAAACTAAAAAGGCGCCAAGCAGCTTCACATGGAGAAACCCAACAACCTAATTGATATTGCTGTATTTCATCATGGATGAGCATAGCATCTTTAAATTGCACAACACTGAAAGATATCTTGTCATGACCCTTATAAGCATATTTGTATAGATACTTCACCGCCTCTATAGTAGAACACACTTCAACATTTAAGTGACAATCAAAGTATGATGATAGATATGGATTATATGAAATCACCCATTGATTATCCATGATTGTCTTTCGAATTGTAACAGTTTCTCCTGCGTCTCTTCTCCGATACAATGGATATCCATTAGTGCTATTTCTTATTTCATCACAAAACTGCTTTGGATACCCATATTTACAACGACCATGGCTTCCCTTATGTTTCATGCAAGGACACTCTAGATCCAAATGACCACATGGACCATGCATCATGTGCTTCAGAATAACTTTCCTAAGATGATTGTTGTTAGCAGATGGTATTTCAGCACATACAAATTTATCAAAATCAGCAGGGCATTTGATTTTATAGTCTTGCTTTAGAATTATTAGAAAATGAGCATGAGGTAGGCCTCTTTTCTGAAATTCAATCACATAGATCATTGTTGCTACCTCCCCAAACACTTTTTTCTTTTTAATCAAGTGCTTTAAAGCAAGAACTTTTGCTCTAAAGATCCTTGCAACTATATCTGCCTGTCTTGTTCTTTTTCTCCGACAACAAGCTCTTGTTTAATTTCAGGCCAATTAGCATTGCAGGTCATTGTAATGAATAAGTCAGGTTTACCAAACCGCTGAACCAAAGACATTGCATTTAAGTACCTCTTTTTAAGATCTTGATGACAACCAATGAATGTTGGAGGCAATATGACTTTACGCCCCACATTTGCTGCAAAAGTTTTTCCACAATCAATAGTATTAAGGATTCCTTGATACAGATCTGCTCTTATAGTCTGCTGATTTCTACGAAAAAAATCTAGCCGTGTATTCTCAACCTTGACATACACATCCACTATATATGTACAGTTGAAAGCATCTACCTTCTTTTAGCAACATGTTATTAGGTCTACATTGAAGCTTGTATGCATAGTATTCCCTAGATGAAATATTCCTATATTTCTTCGATGAGCCTCCACTGGCACTTGCAAATGCACAATTTTTTTCCCAATTTTAATGAACCGCAAAAACAGCTTACTATATAGCAATGAAAATCCCATGTTAGAACATAACCAACCATATGATTCTACCCTTTTTAAGTAATAATTTTTTTGCTTTTGTTCTTACTATACATCTATATATATGGCCTATCTAAGTGCTAAAAGATATAGAATGTACATACATCTTGCATCCTCCTCCAGCAGCTCTTCAGTAGTATGAACACTGCGCGAAGAAACAGGATCATTATGTGATTGCAACTGTTGTCTTCCACCCCGAGACATCTTTTTTAAACCCTGTATCCACCCACAATCACTGTATGGAAAAAGCAACGGAATTTTAAAGGATCATAGCAGCGGTAATAATGCATGATTCTATGACACAAACTCTTTGTAGGTAGATTATTATGACGCAACTCATCTGCAAATAAATCATTTTCAGATGGATCGTCTTCAAGTGTACCATGCTGAGATGTGTCTTTTTTTTCTTTCACCAGAATATGGGGAATTTCCGACCCACTGGAAGATGCATATTCTGGCCATATGACAGCAACTTCATCAGTTGAGGGAGCATTGTAAACACGCTGATCTGGCACAATTGTTTTGTTTATCAAAATTTGTGTCGATTCAGTCACTTGGATCTCTCTTAGTGAACGAAAGAACCAGGCATAAGGATTTATCTTAGTAACTTCCATGAGAATAGCCAACACACTTCCCTTAATTCTAGAAAACAACCAAGCCTTTTTTTAGCCTCAAGTTCTCCATCATAGAAATAGAGCTGCATGTACTTAGGTCCTTCATTTCCAGGGAGTAAATAGGGAATATAATGGTATAGCTGACCATGTAACTTAAATACACAAATCCCTTTTTTAGTTTTAGCATCAAATTTTCCACCCAATGATGTAAATGCAAACATGTTGTTATACAAGCGTATATACTGCCTAAAATGCTTAACATCTTCGTCCATAGATGTGAGCAGTCTCACAAGCTATGCAAGGAAGTCGTTTGTTGCAATCTTAACTTCACCATCAGCACAGCAGAAGTGGGGTGTTTCAAAAGAAAATTTACGCGCCCCACACTTGGAACACTCAGTAGGAGAAGGAAGTTCATAGGGTTCTATAGGTAATTTTTTGCCAATTACTGCATCAGGGATCCCTACTCACCAAAACATATTTGTAGAACACTAAAACATATACATCTTAATTGAAATTGGGAATACAAATATGGATTGTATTTATATTTTTATTTGAATGGTTAGTATAGATATTTAGTGTCATATAAGATTAGGCACAGTCCGAATTACTTGTAACAGGATGCTTGGGTTAGAGTATTTTGGAAAACTTTGCAGCAGGCACACTCTGCATCCTAGTAAAATAGAAGGAGCAAAACATGCAGCTATTCCATTAGGTACTTCTCTGAGCATTTATAGCCTATATTGCAGAAATTAAATGATTTATTTCTAAGACGAAACAACTTCACGGATGTGAAACTTTACTGAAATGTATTTCAACAGGTAGATATACCTCTGCATTTCATCTTGAGACCCAGACTCTAAACTTTTAAGTTGTTTAGTATTATATCCTTTTGAAGATGATGGTTCTCGTAATAACCGATCTACAACATGATTTTGGAAATACAGAGCTTAGCATAAAAACTTTAGATGGTGTATCTATTTATAACAAAGAAAAATCATATGTTACAGGACATACTCATAGCTGAACAAATAACGATTCTACGTAGCTATCGTACTGTGATTCCATAGTATGAGCAGTTGTACTACATAGATCCTGGTTATTGCCAAATATATAATGTAATAGGTAGTTAGCCAACTGCATTGCAACCACTTTAATAAACAAAAAACACATAAAAGCACAACATATGTAAATTTTGCATCTTTCAAAGGTCAAAACAATAGGCTAAACAACACTCATACGTAAAAAAATTTAGCTAACTCCATTATATTACTCCATCAAATATATATTATTTAAAATACATAAGATCGGAAATGCTTTTCACAAAAGATGCCTTACACAATGTCACTTAATATAGCCCTAATATAAGACTGGAGAATAAGAGATAGTCCTAGTAATAAGGAACTAACCCAGCTACACAAATAAGCAAAAAGAGCTAGTCAATATAACTACAGCAACACTACTTTTCAGGCACACACTAATAGGATCTAATTCTTATTGGACCCAAACTTTGCTCGCTTAAAACGATAAGACAAATCTTCCGGGACTGGAAACACTGAGACCATCTTACAATAACCAGAATCTGCAGCAGGAGATGTTTCAGCATATATGTGTCATAAAAGACGCTTCTTAGGAGGCAAAAAAGGTGGAATAGACACGGGCACCTGAAATTCCTGTCCAAGTGGAGTAAGACAATCATGCTCAATAAGAACAGTAGAAGGTTCCAGCTCCTCCTTAATTCCTAGCACATGTTCTTTGACACCTACATAGCTCTCTCTCTTTAAGGTACATAAGATGACATCAAACCTAGCTGTTGTGACCTTATAATTAGCATCAACTATGACAAGGTTAAAGACATCGCTAAGATAGTCAATAGCCTTTCTAGCTAGGCTTTGCTTAGCTGCAGTTGTAGTTTGGCAATGATCACTAAATAAACACCGAAAACATATTCCTTCTTTGTGAGGCATGACTAGTAAACCAGGAAGTATACTCGTTAGGAGAATGCCCAATTGTTTCAATTCGAGTGCACCTTATCTCAACAGTTCTAAAGATGGCCCTTAAAATGACAACAAAATCCATTACAATCTTCCTATGATTATCCTCAGCACCAAAAGGAAGGCCTTCATACTTACAGACTTTGCATTCCTCCTTTTCAATGCGCTCTAGCTCTTCTTTCTTGAACCAAAACAGCTGACTACAGCGATCATAAATTTGTTTCCTTAAATAAGTCACATCCTCAACAACGATTTCATAATTTTTCATTAGGTCATAAACAACCTTTCTAGCAGCCACTTCACAAGACTTTTTTACACTGCTAGTATAGCCACCAATGTAAACAGATGCAATGGGACCGCAATCTATCTGAATCACCACACAAGCAATGCTCCATGGCTCATTAACAAACTGGTAATCTGGATAAGGAAAGTTCAAGTACTTGGTAATTTGCTTCAGAAGAGGACAAAATGGCATCACTACTTGTATGGGTGGCAAGTCCATGACCTGTAAACACATGCATCAAAATTTTCAAAAGGCCCAAAATACTAACCATTATATGCAACCCAAATGCGGATACCTAAACAACTTATCCTGCCATTTTATAGAAACAAAGCAACCTATGACAGGACTACATATTCTTATATACAACCCTAGAAAAGCAGCTCATAGTAGTAGCATAAATCACAACACAAATACTGTTAAATAAAAGGCAAGTATATAGCTACATAGATGGACAAGAATAACTAATGCATAAAACAGGACACTTCCTAGGAGAAAAGCTTCTCCAAAAAACAACTACAGAAGAGATGATAGGAAACAAAAGATTCTCCTATCACCATATACTATAATATAACAGCATACAAAGCAAGTCCACATCTCTTATTATTTCATGACTATTCTAGGACTATGATTTCATCACTTTTCATCACTAAAGCACAATAAACAAATGCTTATCTTTCGTTATCTGGTAAAATTTTGTATAATTCAAGTAGATTAGCACCAAAAGCCCCTAGAAAACAGAACAAAAAATAATCAATGGTGACCATTTATTTTTCTATAAAAACAACCCATTCAGAAGCTTCCTAAAACAACTGATCAATAATAACCTACACTCCAAACAACACACACACCTCCTAACAACACATAACATAATTCAGTAGATAATACCAAACTAAATATACCGTTTTCCCAACAATAAATGACATGAAATCAACAATCATAGCATCCAAACCAACCACCATACTTCATGACAACCTAAATCATACATTATGACAACCTAATACTACATTCCATGACTAAATCACAACAAACCAATAACAAATTATTTCACTGAACTAATCAAGTTCCATTCATCAAACAACAACATAATGACACACCTATAAGTATAAAAATTATAATAAAAAATCTTCTAAGTCCTTGTCACGGTCCTCTAATATATGGAATTGTCTTATGTCATGGATAATCAGAATCTTGCTCCGTAAGATTATTGGCAATTGTTCCATAGATCATAACAATGTAATCATCAATAAGATACATATATGCAATATACATTTATCCTAAGAAACTAACAAGATTTAAGTTACCTGATATTTCTTTATTTAGAATTAAATCACTTTTCTATGACTTTTTTATAGCACCAAAAGCAGAACAAATCAAATGAAAGAGAGAGTTTAAGTGCCAGACTAACCAAAAACAAGGAAACTCATTTATATAGATCTAATGTAGGTACAAACCCAATGGCCATTTTTTTCAATAAGTAAAAGTT